TTATTTTATTTTATTTTATTTTATTTTATTTTTTATTATTTATTTTTTATTTATTTTATTTTATTTTATTTCCCTCCCTCCCTTTAAAAAACCCCGAAAGCGTTTGCCACTTTACACATTTGCATTTTCGTGCTGCCTATGTTAGTTTGCTCCTATATTAGTTTGCTCCTCCTGTGAGGAGGAGGCTGCCCCCTGCCCTGCCTGGCTTCTGGGGGCTTGCCTGCCATTCCTGGGCTTACAGGAGCATCCCTCCTGTTTCGGCCTTCACCTCCACACGTGTGCGTTCTCCCTGTGTGTGTCTGTCTCTGCTCACGTTTCCCCCTTTCTAGAAGGACCCCGGTCCTGCAGAGCGCCCACCCTGCCCACCACATCCTCACTTGATTGCCTCTGAGAAGACCCTGTCCCCAAATAAGGTCACCTGCTGAGATAACTGGGAATTAAGACCCACCCCCGAGGTGTTGGTAGGCATTTGAATTTTTTCACTCCTGCTTGTCCCTCCAGAGGGTAGGCATCAGCAAAAGTGTAAATTATCAGCGGACAGATTTGGGTTCAATATAAGGAAGGTTGTTTTTCTATTTCCCATTGCACAGGTGTGTGAATATCTTTGAGGGTGTAGTGACAGCCCTGGAAACACGTGCGCATGGCTTCAGTGGCCATTGGTCAGGACTTGTGTAGATCAGGAGTCGGCAAGTTTTCTCTAAAGGTCCGTATGGTAAATCTCATTGTCTTTGCGGATCATATGGTCTCTGTTGCGACTGCTGAGCCCTGCCATTGTAGTGTGAGAACAGTCTGAGAGACAGCATAGAAAAGTGAGCATGCCCGTGTTCCAATAAAACTATTTATAAGCATAGGTAGTGCTGGTGGAAGGAATGAGGAGTTACCATTTAAGGGGGAGAGTTTCAGCTTGAGATGTTGTAACCGCTCTGCAGATGGATAATGGTGTGGGTTGCACAATAATGTGAGTGTACTAATGCCACTGAGCTGAATACTTAAAAATGGTTAAAATGGTAAGTTTTGTGTTATGTGTGATCTATCACAGTAAAAAAGTATTAGAAGAAAAAGACAACGGGCTGGAACTGGCTCGCTGACAGTAGAATTGGATTGGATGTCTGTGCCCTACGTAGATGCATTGTTGACCAGTCTTGGTTTAGACTCTTTCTTGGAAGTCACTACCAATCTTCCAGCCAATGAAACTCTTTGGGGATGGTCCTGGGGCGAGTGATCATTAATTGCCCCTTCTTGCTGTGAAAAGTCTGCTGTGAACTTACTTGGTTTTCTGCCCTTTTCTTCACTGGAGACTTAACAAATTTTTTTTTATTTAAATTCAATTTAGTTAATGTACAGTGTAGTATTGGTTTCGGGAGTAGAACCCAGTGATTCATCTCTTACACAGGACGCCCAATGCTCATTCCAACAAGTGCCATCCTCAATGACCATCACCCATTTAGCCCATCCCCCAGCCAACACCCCTCCAGCAGCTCTCAGTTTGTTCTGTGTTTAAGAGTCTCTTATGGTTTGCCTCCCTCTCTGTTTTTATCTTATTCTTCCTTCCCTTCCCCTATGTTCATCTGTTGTGTTTCTTAAATTCCACATATAAGTGAAGTCACATGATATCTTTCTCTGCCTGACAATTTTGCTTAGCATAATACATTTTAGTTCCATCAATGTTGTTGCAAATGGCAAGATTTCATTCTTTTTGATTGCTGAGTAGTATTCCATTGCATATATATACCACATCTTTATCCATTCATCAGTTGGTGGACATCTGGGCTCTTTCCATACTTTGGCTGTTGTTGATCGTGCTGCTATAAACATGGGGGTGCATGTGTCCCTTCGAATCAGCACTCTTGTATCCTTTGGATAAATTCCTAGTAGTGCTATTGCTGGGTCATAGAGTAGTTCTATTTTTAATTTTTTGAGGACCCTCCATACTGTTTTCCAGAGTGGCTGCACCAGCTTGCATTCCCACCAACAATGCAAAAGAGATCCTCTCTCTCCACATCCTCGCCGACATCTGTTGTTGCCTCAGTTGTTAATGTTTGACGTTCTGACAGGTGTCCGGTGGTTTCTCATTATGGTTTTGATTTGCATTTCCCTGATGATGAGTGATGTTGAGCATTTTTCATGTGTCGGTTGGCCATCTGGATGTCTTCTTTGGAGAAGTGTCTATTTATGTCTTTTGCCCATTTCTTTACTGGGTTTTTTGTTTTTCGGGTGTTGAGTTTGATAAGTTCTTTATAGATTTTGGATAGTAACCCTTTATCCAATATGTCTTTTGCAAATATCTTCTCTTATTGCCTCAATTGCCCTTCCCTGGAGACTAAGTACACATCTGTAACATCCGCTTTTGCCTTAGTAAACACATCGTATAAATATCCTCGCGTGAACGTCCACTGGTTCCCATTTCTTTTGAGTCGTATGTGGAGACACTGGGCATATGTCTCTTCTTCTGACGCGGGTCATGGAGTCTCATATTCCAGAATAAATGCCGAGATATTCTTGGTTTTCTTCTTCTTCTTCTTCTTTTTTTTTTTTTTATAGGACATATTTGGAGTCAAACAATTTCTTCCCCAAAATGCGGTTTTGAAGTGGCTGAGCACAAATGTTTGCAGTCGTGTCATTCTGAAGGAACTCTGTGGAAATGCTCTTTTTGTTCTATGTGGATTTAATGAGAGAAACTTAAACATGGTATGTATGTTCATAATAAAACTTGCTTTAACTTTTAGCGAGTTTATTTTATCTGTGAATATGCTTATTTGTGCTGAAGGATGTGAGAAAAGCAGGAACGACCTCATCCGAGTGCTAACGGGTCTGACATTGAAGAGAGAGGTTCAATGTGGGCAAGTGCCTGGAATGTTCTCTGCTTCTTTCCTCAGGCTAGCAGCTTCCCACAGGGTGCCCGTGAGGAACTACTGAGTGAGGACATCTGTCATAATTTATGTCCCAATATTTATATTTATTCTAGTGATCTATTTCTTTTAAAAAACTACTGAGTGTGTGTTTAAATTTGGAACAGCAATTTCCGTGTGTGTGTGTTTGTGTGTATGTACACATTTATTTACCTATTTTTATTTCGTAAAATGTAAACCCTTGGCCAGCAAAATGCTGGTGTTTCTATGTATATTTGTAGTTTGTAATGTTGCGTCATGTGAAAACGGATTTTGAGATTCGCGAATGAAGGCTCTAGTTTCTCGTTCCTGATGATAGAAAAAGGTCTGATTATTCTATGAAATTTTGGAAATTCAGAAAGGCTTGTAGCAGAAAATAAAAATGGCTAGTAACCTCAATCCATGCAGCCCTACGGCTGCCATGTTGCTCTGTTTCCTCCATATGTATTCTGTGTGTGTGTGGCTGTGCAGTTTTTCTAGAACATATCTGTAGTCAGAGAATTTTTTTTCTTGTTCTTAATCTCCTATATATGACATTATGGCTTTGAAGTGCAGAACTGATTTATTATCAATGCTTCCTTAATGCTGTATCCATCATTTATGTCAATTTATCTCTTTCGCAGTCTAGAGTGTCGGTGTATATAACACACTCTCCTGCTGGAACTTCTGTGCAAAACATATTACACTGGAGCCAGGTAGGCATTCTGGAGGGGCTGCTGGGGTTTGTATAAAATCAGCGTCAGAGGGACCTGTGCCTTCCATGAAGCACTTGTCTGCGAGCCCTTCCCTTCTTGTCGCAGACCAGGCCGGTCGCTTACACATCAGAGCTGGTTTCCTTCCCCTGAGTCCTGGGTTCCTGTCATTGTGTCTTTGTACCCTGTGTGCGTTCACCAAACAGGCTATTGGGCTTGACTTTTTTCTCTCCCCTCCTGCCCCACCCCATCAGTTTCTCACCAAGTCCTAGATTTATTTTATTTCTGTGATGCTTCATCAAGCAAGATTTTTGAGCAGCTTTAAGATGCAAGCTAATGTCAGCGTTAACCCGTGAACACTGTAGGACTGAAGACACCAGTGCATAAACCAGAGCAAACCAGTCAGGAGTGTAAATGGGAGCCAGTCACTTTTAAAATGCAGCTCTCATTGTTTTAGCACATACCACAAAAGCAATGCATGCCCATTCTAGAACATTTAGAGATCATGTACTGTAGGAAAAGGATAATAAAAATTGTCTTAGGGATAAAAAACAAAGCTCTGCAATTGTCCGCAGAGACAGAAGATGTGTACCAGGAGATAGGAAATGTCTTTGCCGCCTACTGTATACCTTTTACTGCAGATCATTCCAGAAGGAAGTGGTTAAGGATGCAGATAGAAATATAGTTGCAAAAATAGATTAATTAAATTAATCAGGTGACTTAATTTATTTTCTTCTACTTACTCTTTTACAACTTGT